CGCTTTGTTGTCGACGGAGAAACATTGCTGCTGACTCCGAAGGCGCCTCCGCACTACTCACTACTGAAGACATCCCACAGGAAGGAAGAGGACTCACTCCCTCGACAAATTTTTTTTTTTCAATTTCGTCCCGCTGAATCCACGCGTACAGGCAGACCGCATCGGATCGGGACCTTGTGCCGACAAGGCCGCAAGTCTGTGGTCATCACACCCCGATAGCTCAGACCTTCCAGCTCGAAGCGAGTGAAATAGTGTGGGATCCAGAGTAGCGACTGGCAAGCTGGACGTTTGTAAATGGCTCATAATCATTTGTCCACCGGATGGGCCAGGGTTGGGGATTCCGTACTTCTACATACCCCTCGTAGCCGTTGATGGAACCCACACTACCTACCCACATTGAAAGAGCTGCATCCTGGTCGCCTACTGTAGGGATATGTAGGTACTGGCACTAAATACCGAGGTAGCCAATCCACCTCCCAATTTTGGGCAGTTGCGATACAGTGCCGCGCCTTGACCATCTGATTGGCTACATTCCCCAAAACAGCAACTCCTTCCACCAAACCAACCGGAGAGCTCCTTCCCCCAAAGATAACAACCCGCAAACGCAGTTTTCTGGAAATCCTCCCACCGCAAGCTAACACGAGTACCACGACTAGTCTTTCGCACTACTCGAACTTTTACTACTGCAGCGAGTTGAACAGCCGAACAACCCCCATGGCACAACCGGCTGCTGCACCGCCAATCACCACCATCTGCCCCGCACCACTGAGGTTGCACTTGACACACCTCCAACCTCGCCAGCCCTCGACGAACCCAGTCTTGACGTAGCCAAAAGCAAACAATGCGACAATCATCACGCTGATGCTCCAGATCAGCCCCTCCGTGACATTGCTGGTGAAGAAGTATGGGAGGAGTGGCACAAAACCACCAATGAAATATCCCAGCGCGATTGTCAGGGCACACACCACCGCACGGCTGGGCGCAGGCTCGGGCGTGTTGTGTTGGAAGTGCATGAGGAAGTCCACCACCGCGTCGGGACTGTTGGAGGTGATGAGCTGATGGGTAAAATCCTTGAGGAGAGACGGCGAGAGATGGTAGGGCGCGAATATGGACGTGATCTCCGACGACAGGTTGCCGCTCGATTGGAGCACTTGGGTTCGTGTCGACCTGTATGTGGCCTTGTATGCTGCCTCTTCGCTTTTCGCACCCAGGTAGCCACCCAAGCCCATTGAAATGGCTCCGGCAATAAGCTCAGCGAGACCACCAAAGACAACAACCTTTGTGTCGCCCAGGGCTGAGAGCCCGGCGGTGAGGGCGAAGGGTACCGTCAAGCCATCTGACAGGCCGATGATAGCATCCGAGACTATTCTCGCATTGATTGGGCTGCGCTCTCTTTCTGATGTGAATGATGGTCTCTCACACATCGTGTCTGCAGAGGTCTCGCTGCTTGTGTCGATGGCATCGTCGCCTTTGCTGAGACGGGATGTTTGTCTCAGCATGGCATCTTTCTCCGTGTCGACGGGCACCGCTGTGTATGACCGTCTCATCATCGCTTTGAGCATAGCAGCCATGGCATTGGTATCTTCGAAGCTGTCGATCGACATCTTGGATGAAACTGTCGATGAGCGTGAATCTTCAGGAAGGCCAGTCTTTCTGTAGTCAAACAAGTTGTATGTCCTCGGCAGCTGTGCAGAGCAAGAGGAAAAGCAAGAGGAACGACCAAAGCTCGAGGGGGAACTCGCGCAGAGGAGGGAGGCTGGGTGTATTCGAGCTATAGACATTCCTCAACATCCCGCGCGCCTTACTGGGTTTACCTTGAAGGGCAATGGGCCATGGTCCGGATGTAACACAGTCAACAAGCTGAAGCCACGCGGCAACGCACTTGCCCTTCCATTTCCTACCTTCCTGAAGCAGAATCACGTCGAATTTTCGACGTGGGAACGAAGCAGAAGGTTTCCTAGTGTCAACGCAACGGGATCGCTAGGACTTGAACGCCTGTCGACGGGCAACGTGCACAGCAGCAACAAAACAAAATTTCATGGGCCATGGCTTTTAGCGTGGTGAAAGGAACAGAATGGAAGCAGCTCAGGAACATGGCCCTGGTGGCTCTTATGCAACATGACGATCGCATTGCCCTGGCCACTCGAGCTCGTGAGCAACGTGCCTTGTCAGCTGCAAAGAAAGCAAGATGATTGGAGCTTTCGGGGTCATTGCAGCACGCCAATGTCAGACAAGCTCCCCGAAGCTTGCTTTGCCCGGCAGGTCAAAGCTTGGATGGTCTCTAGCATATGCGGGCACGGTGGATTCAAGGCTCAGGCTAATGCACGTTCCGCCCCGCTGGGTTCATGAGTCTCCACCGTCTCCACTTGACGAGGCTATCTCGATGGCAGCTTTCTTGTATTCCAGCTTCGGGCAGTCAATGCAGCACCCTAGCACCTTGCCGAAGCTCGTTATCCACCTGGAAAATACTACAGACTACATGTCCTCAAAACTCTGATGAACCTTTTATCCCCTTCTCGGAAGGTGACATGCCGGTCGTGGAGCGTTGTCCCCATGCTAAAGCAACGTGTTGATAACGATACAGCGGCATTGGCTATCAATCTTCGAACGGCACTTGAGATAGGAAATCACGGCATCTTGTGCGCACCGCAGCGGTTGAGAACTGTTCGGAGAGACGCCGTCCAGGACAAGTTTGCGTTTTCAAGGCATGAGGTGTGCAGAAGGCATAAAACTGGAACGCACTGCCAGCTTCGTCCCTTGGAATGGGTCAAGCGCAAACAACAGGAAGCAGCCCGCTACTTTGAAATGGCAGCCCTACTCTCTTTGCTGGGTGCTTCTGCACTCATCTCCTCAACTACCGCTCTCCCAGTCAGCCGACAAGCCTCAATATGGCAAGGGCTGAGCTCGAAGATCACCCACGTCGTCTACCTAATGATGGAGAACCACTCGTTCGACAACATCGCCGGATTGTGGGACTTCAACGACATTGACAACCTGCTCAACGTCAATTTCTGCAACGAGTTCACCAACCCGAACTGGACCGTGTGGGATGAACCCCTGCTGATCTGTGCTGGCAAGTACGAGGCTGAAGTCCCCCTGAAGGACCCTGACCACAACTTTGCGGGCACCAGCTACGAGATCTACCGCAAATGGCAGCCAACGGCGGACGACATCCCGGACATGTCAGGCTTCATCGAGAGACAGTCTGAAAAGTACAACGCAACGCCGGGAGATTCCTCCTTTGTGATCAAGGCCTATGACCCCAAAATGGCCACCACTCTCTCGACCTTGGCCCAAAACTATGCATTCTGGGACACCTACTTCGCCGAGCACCCGGGTCCGACTAACCCTAATCGACAATTCGCAACCTCAGGCTCCACCTGCGGGTACGTGGACAACACCGACCAGGCCGCTGGCTGGTTCAGCAACACCACGGGCACCAGCTGCACGCCGTCCATTTTCGAGGCCCTATCGAACAAGAACATTTCGTGGAAGAACTACTACGAGACCGACATCATCGACGCGCATATGTACAAATGGGTCCAAGACAACGCCATGGATCGCCTCGTGCACGCCGACCAGTTTTACAAGGACCTCGAGAACAACGAGCTCCCCCAGTTCTCCTACATCAACCCAGAGTGCTGCACCATCGATTCCATGCACCCGACCAGCAATATGGCCGCGGGAGAGATGATGATCAAGCATCTCTACGACGCGCTGCGCAACTCTTCGTACTGGGATAATTTGTAAGGAGCTCCTCCTTCCCTCCTCGCTTTGTTCCACAAGGTGCCGTGACTAACTTTGAATCTCAATGATAAAATAGGCTCCTGATCATGTAAGTTTATCAAACAACTAAAATCCCCCTCATCGGTGGTTGGGCTCCGTTTATTCTTTTGGATGGCCGGTGTCTTTCACGTCGCCTCCCTCTTTCCCTTTGTCGAAGCATGCTAACTTTGAGGCAGAAACTTCGACGAGCACGGAGGATTCGCCGACCACGTCCCTCCTCCCGTGGGCGTGCCGGCGCCTGCCGACGGCATCACCTTCTCAGGCATGTCTGACGGGCACAACGTCACGTACGACTTCACGCGGCTGGGCGTGCGCGTGCCGGCCTTTGCCATCTCGCCATGGATCCCGCCCAATACGCTCATCCACGACCAGGGGACCACTTACGCCGAGAACTCGGCCTACACGCACTCGTCGATCCTGCACTTTTTGCAGGAGCTGTGGGGTCTCGAAGGGCTAAACAACCGCGTCCAGTGGGCCAAGACGTTCGAGCACATCTTCGCAGACACCCCGCAGGAGGGCGGTGGCTTGGTGAGCCTGCCCAGCCCGGTCTGGCACGGCGGCTTTGGCCAGCCCGAGCCTGATGCCTTTTATCTCTTGAACCAGGACGAAAGTTACTATGCCAATTTGGATTGATTGATGACCTTGGATGAATAATGGTTGCGAGAACCCGCACTGTGTGGAGGGCATGCACGCACGACATGACGAGTAGATGAGTCCCGAGCCTATATAGCTCGCTTGCTTGGAAGAAGAGAGATAAAATAATAAAATATTCCCAAATGATCTGCGTTGAAAATCTTAATCTTCACGAATGCTGTGAGAAGCTAGGTGGGGGGCGAATGAGGATGTGTAAAGGTACGTAAAGGACAGGATCCTGCTGTAGGTGTGTGCATGGAATGAGGCGAGTGTGTTGACCATAAGAGGCAGACCAGGACGTGTAAGTCATGCACCCTGATCACAGACCAGCACAGTCCCTCTGGCCGTGAATCGCCGCCACGGTGTGAGAGAGTTATGGGCTCTTTCCAAAAATCGCAAGATATAAATCTGTGTGGTGGTGGTGGTGCAGCCTTGTCAATCTCCGCCCCCCTGTTCAGGGACTGGACTGGGCGCAGGGCCTCTAAATCTCAAGATCTTCGTTCCCCGCAAAGAGCGAGACGACGACAGCCGAGAAGAAAAAGCCCCCCGCTCAGTGTCCTTATAGGGCAACTCTCTCCTAGTCATGCATTGACACGATACCAGACATCCGATCCGCCGAGCAGGGCACTAACCGAGCCTGCAGCGCCGACCGTGACAGGATCGAGTGGGAACCATCCCACCGCTGCAGCTGGGATCAGCAAATCACAGGTGTCGATGACCAGTTGCCGAAAGATAGCGTTGCGTTTCGCGGTTGGGGGGTTCCTTGGTTTCGTCTGCTCCGGTTCGTTGAATTCGTCGACAGCGCCGCCCTTGCGACTAGTCTTTTCGACGACGGGCGAGGTCGTCTTCTCCTTCTTTTCATTGGCCGATTGGTTGTTGTTGTTCTTCGATGATGCAGGGTCCGGGTAGACAAACAAGAGTTCGTACAGGCTCAAGGCGACGGACGCCGACAAGGCGTAGAACCAGAATTTCAACGCTTCAATTTGGGCGGTTACCGCCCACGGTCTCCAGGTGCCGAGGACTGCATCAACCTAGTTGTTGAGCGGGTTGAAGGCCCTCAGTCAGCGCGCGCGCTACGCCGGGGGCGAAAATTTTTTTTAAACAGTGCTTGTTTGGATTGCGTACAATGGTAAACATCTCTATGAACAGGTACATGCCGAGCAATGACCATTTTGAGACAATGAGGAGAGAATGAACGCTGCTTTGCGCGATTGGTGGCTGCGATGGCTTTGTTGGTTGATCTTTCGTCGCCTTGCTCGCGGGAAAGGATTGGTACTGGGCGTACGCCGTGTTCCAGCAGTCGATCCATTTGAAGAGACGGAGAAATCGGCGTGCTGGAGAGCCACTCTGTCAGCTACCAACCGCTGGGAGAGCAACATAAGCGCGTTCAGGAGAGGGATATATGACATGGGTGACTCGGGTAGAAGTTTCTCACCCAGCGCGAATTGATCCTTGGCTGTGAGCCACAGGGCAGCCTCGTCTGGTGATAGATAGCCGACCGTTGCTGCAATCTGTGAAGTCGACTGTAAAAACTTGAGGCTCTTCTCAACGCCAACTTTCAACATCACAAATCATTACATGTCAGCTCCACTTTCTTGTTAATGGCTTGCTTTATCGCAAGCAAGCAAATTTGCTTGTCCTGGAGATTTTGGCAGCTCGCGTGAGAGAGGATGCCGGGGGAAAACGATCGCTTACGGGCATCATTGGAGAATCTCGTTATGGACTGCAGCATTGTGGACAGGGGGGCCAGCAGGGGGATGTTCAATATCTCAGAAAGGAACCAAAAAGGGAGTATGCTATTTTCAACGTCACCTTAACTCGCAGACACTGGGTGATGACTGGTAATGGGTGTTGGCGCTCAATTGAAAAGGGGGGAGATATGACTGAATCGGCCAAGTCCGCGACCAGAGTGGCTCCTCGACCACAAGCACGCCATCACCACATACGTTGCGCACTGAGATGTCCTCCTAGAAGCTGAAAGGGCCATGAACTGAGAGGCAGCCTGTCGGTTAAGAGTACCATGGTCATTCTCGGACAGATACATGCGCAATAGATGCCGAAGGGGAAAAGAAGATGCATAAGATGAGCCTTGCAAGGCTGGAAAGATAAAAGCGGCCAAAGGATGATTCCTATTGTAGCACTAGCTTGATATTAGTCCCGCAGTTTATCCGAACAGTCCAGCACCAACTTCATCGCAACAGCACAGCACTTTTGGGACCAACTGCGACAACCAGGCTGTTCCAACATGGCGGTAATCTCGCGCCTCTTAGTCCTCGTTGGGCTCTTGTCCCTGTTTCACGCGTATGTATACCGCTAACCCGGCTTCTCATGGATCACAATACTGACGCCGTGTGTTGCAGAGCGTACTCCGCTCACGAATTTTCGACCCTCTCCACAAAACTGCATAAGAACGCCGCTCTCCCTCTGGACATCAAGCTCGAAACCCTGGTATCAGTCTTTCTGGCATGCTTCGGCCTTGTTCTGGGCTCCGACCCACTGAAACCCGTCAGCTGGAGCGCATGGGCCGGGCAGATCGAGCGGGAAGGCGGATTGGCAAACCCGTTTCGGGGACTGGAGGAGAGGGTGGGCTTTATGGATATCAGGGCACAGAGGAGGGCATTTGCCGAGTGGGTGAAGCAACAGGGCGCTGGAGTCAAGAGTTGAGAGATGCTCGAAGCACAATATATCGCCAATGACAAACTTCCTACTCCACAAAGAGAAATCTCAGCCGTCGCGCAACTAAGGCTACTCGAAGAGGCGGAGCTTGGAATATTACTAGTCCACGATCTATACCTTCCGTCTTTGAGGATGCTCCGATGCTGGCCATTTCTTCTCTGAGACTATCTGCGACGATCGGATCACTCCTTGGGCTGCATGATCTTCCACACCCGTGTTGAACACAGTCCTGACGCAGTTGCCGCCCAGCCGCTACTTCTGCTACAAACCACTCAAATGCGACCTATCAGACGGCGTTTCGTTGGCCTTGGGGAATCATGATACATAGGTAGGCTGGACGAGGGCGCACAAAGGGTCCTTCGTTAAGTCTCGCTCGTGTAGCCGACTGCCAGCCATGACACTCGGAGGAAACCAACCATGCGCTATGGGATCTGATCTACTTTCAAGGACAACGCTAGACGAATCGGTACGAGACCTAGATCCGAGTGGAGAACACCATTGGCAAAGATATCTTGGGAGATGAAACCATAGAGCGAACTCGATTCTGTATTACTTTTTGATTCATGCGATTTGTGAGCCTCTGTCTAACGGGGCACAATCTACTCTATCTAGTAGTGATTTCGCACCGACCAAAAACACTGTTTATTCCGGCTTGACAAGCGCCAGAGCACTCTCCCTGTCATGATATCTGTGTTTTGATACAAATCCAATTCCCAAGACGCTGCAAGTGCTGTTTACCGTCGTATATCCTCATTAGATCCGTACCATTCGTTCAATGGCAGATTCGACGCCAAGTTTTCCGAAACCCATTCAAATAATCTTCGTCTCGCCTGCGCTCGTTATGCATAAAAACCTTTTTTGGTGTGATGAAATGCTTCGCTGTAAAATGAGGAGAGAATAGGTTTTCCCCCGTGTTGTCGAAAGAACAATCTTATAATCTTCGGTTGAGATGCAGATCCTCATCCTGCCGGGTTTCACAGCAAGGAGAACCCGAAAGCAGCGACAAGTAAGGCGATACCGGCGCCGGCGACTTTGTTCGTCACTGCAGCGCCGGTGGCTTGGGCGAACGTGGCGACGGCAGTCCCCGACGAGGTGGTGCCAGCGCCATTATCTGACGAGCTCTCGGTAACCGCGCTGGTCGCAAGAGTCGTGGGACTCGACGTGATGATGGCAGTCGAGCTGGTGCTGGAACTGTTGCCGTACCAGAATCCCGAGTAGGTGGGCAGCGTGGGCGAAGCTGGTTGGCTGGTGACGACGGCGGGCTGCGTGGGTTGCGATGTCACAACTGGCGGCATACCCGTGATGACTCCCAAAGAATTGGTCATTGACGTGTAGATCGTGAAGGGGTTTTCGTAGGACGACGTGGACAATGATGAATCTTCCGCGGTGGTGCTAGGGGACCAGGCGGACGACGACTCGCTGGGCCAACTCGTCGAGGCAACGGGACCCTGGGGCTGACCGTCTGATATCTCGGACACGGCTGCCATGGTTGTGTCTGCGCGTGCTACTTGGAGGAAGATAGCCACGGCGAGGGAAAGTGATGAAAGGGTGGTCTGCGAAGCATACATTCTGACTGATGTTGTTGATGAAAGGTTCTGGTAGGCGCTGTCGTTCTCAAGCTGGGAGTAGAGGTACTGTTGTTTGGAGATTCTCTTTGCGACTGAATGTCTAGACGATATACTATTGCTCGTAGATGGATGGGTGTGAGATGCAGACAGGCTTGAACTTGTATTGAATGTGGATGAGTAGTTGAAGGAGAATAAAGACAACCGTTTGCAGCGGCATGTTCTCAGGGACCCTATATACATTCCTCCCTCGCCGTAACCGCCATATACACCAACCAACCCCCCTTACGGCCTTCCCATTTGTTCTGTAGTGGAGGCTAGAATTGGGAAAAAATGTTGGCGGGGCACCGGACTATTCTTTGTTTGCAGAACGAAAGATGCCAATGACGTGCAGTATAACGCGAGTCGAGTGGGTACCTACTAGCCGTAGATGGTAAAGTGCGTGGCTGGATGCAGTTTAATTGGAGGTTGGAGGCGTTAGTCCCGTTAGTCCCGTTGAATGGGTGACGGCTGGGGTCTGGTTGCCGAGTTTCATGTGTCCGCTCCTGGCCACGCTATCCCTTGCGTCGCACCGAGGAGGGCACAACAAGACTTTTCAGGGGTGTCCCTGGAAGAAGGGTCGTGAAGGGGTTACGAAGGTTGAGTGAAAGATCCTGTGAGTAAACAATCTACGAATTAGGTATACAACTTCAAGGCTGTCACTACCACTGAGTCCGCCTCACAATAGTCAATAGCTGGTATTCTTAAGGCATTCTGTGGTGGGGTATCTCTAAACGTTTGCATTTATCTGCAACCAACCACACTGTACGAAACTCCATCCGAACCATGGATATCCTATCCGTTTGACTGGAAATTCCCGCTCCACGTAACTCCGTGGCAATGTGGGCGTCCCAGCCTGCCCAGTGACAAACCTAGTCGACATTCCAATGATACGACACGCCGCCTTCCTTGTAACAAATACTCGTGGAATTCGCTTGAACGCTTGGACCAACACAAGGGAGATCTAGAACAACCTGGACACCTGTTCCGTCCCCGCCTCAAAGTCTCCGAATACCAACTCGCGGGAGCTTCTTCTTTCCTGCACCTGTGTTGGTCTTTCGTGTTGCCATTGGTTTCGGTGCCAGCTCCTCACTGTGCATGTTTTCCTTGTTTTGTGCCACTTGGTCTGGTTCTCCATATGATTTTTGTTGCGACCTATGGTTGCTAGCGATGCTCGAGGGAACCGCCCTGGTCTGGTCAGGTGTAGACATCCGCGTCGTTTTGGGGGATTTTCGCTTTGGTTCTTCAATCTCCTCAGACCGTTGTTGCGTATCATCCCCGTCGATCAATGCTATTTCCGAGAGAGCTCGCTTCTCTTTGCTCCCTGATGTGGCATCTTTGACCACTGCACTGGACAGACTAGGTGCATTCTCTTTCGTGTCGTCCTCCGCCGATGTTCCTCGGGATGAGCGTTTTTCCTTCAGTTCTTGCTCGGATTCCTCCCCTCGACGCTTCGCCTCCTGGACGGCATCTGACAAATGCTTCGGAATGGGTGCATGGATTCGAGTCATCAACCGCGCCTGTGTAGAAAAGGTGTCGTAGTCTTCTTGGATCTGTGCGCCTGCGGCTGCATTTAACGCAGAGTCCGGATTGGGTTGAATCAATAAACACGATATCGTGATCAAGATGTCTTTCAGCGTTAACTTCGGATCCCAATCTCTTTTCAACGTCTCTAGGCACACCGCTCCCGTCGTGGGATCAACATTGGGGTGGTATATTCGTGTCTGGAAGGTTGCCTTCGGAGGGCTTTTCGGGTAGTCGTGGGGCATTTTGAGATGCAGTCGCCACAATCCTTCGGCGTAGGGTGTGCCCTCAGCGCCGGTAATGCAGATGACGAGCTGGGAAAGATCGTCCTGAATGGCTGAACCATGGTCGGCGTCTGGGAAGAGGTAATTTGGAGGTAGTGCAGTGCGCAATGCTGCATGGTCTTTGGCAAGACGACGGAGGGAAGCCTTTTTTTTTTGTTAGACTGATGACAGAGCGTGACGAAGGAAGTGGTGACAGGGATTGCACTTTGCAGGTGATGTCGCTGCAAAAGAGGGCGCGACAGAGTGTTTGTACCTACCATATTATTCGTGTGCTTGGGAGGCGACTAACAATACAACAATGTCTGTTTTCTTCACTATTGCTACAGTATGTTTACATCTGCGATCTGCGGCCTTTGACACTTTCGACAACGCGGTCGCGTTTCAACGTCTTTTACCGGAACTACCGGAACAACATTTACCCTGCTAGCAGTTGACGTCATAGTGATTTTTCTCTGTTCTAGCACACGACATACTCATTTCCATGTACACACATATCTAAAGCACATTCAGGCAGAAGTACGCCTAAAACCCCGGTGGTAGTCTTCCCTGATGAGACCCAGTCAAGGTAGACTACTCTTATGGGTGCAGGTAGCAGGACTGCCATTCCATATGAAGCCAGGCGGCGGGTGGTTACCAAGGTGATGTATCAACCGTCAACCGTTGCGCAGCGTTTCTTTTATGGTTCGTCCTCGTCTTCATCAGCCTGCTCCCCATCAATATCTCCCCTGAATTTTGGGCTCAACGGCCCCTCTCTTGTCCAGATATTCAATCCAACCTTCTCGCCACTAGTCACAACGCTCCCGGAGTGGATGACTCTTTGGTCCCCCCTCCCCGCAACCATATTTACCCAAAACACTGCATTTCCAGGGATGGGAAGGAACGTCACACCCTCGTCAAAAGGCGTATCACAATCAATGTATTCACACCAGCGTTCGTCCTTTGGCACGTCCAGAAGTGGAAATGTCGTACCTCCACCAGAGATATCTGCACTTGCTTTCACATATGCAAAGAACGAAGACAGACGATTCCCACCGTGCGATCGAGTCGTCTGCGCTGGTGACGTGAACCAGTCCGTATGAAGATCATAAGTTTCGTTGGTATGATAGCGCACTAATTGCAACGGCTCAAGGTGTGTCCGAGGCGTGTCATATCCCTGGAATAGCAGAGCCCGTTCTTCGATACATCGTGTTACGGCGTCACGGGAAGCAGTGGCCGACTTGGAGCGTCGAGTGCTACGAAGGGTTTGCGTACCGTCCTGGTCAGCTGTCTGGGAATCGGTGAAGGCTGAGGCGCTGTGTATGAAGGTGAGCCTGGCGGCAGGAAGGGTGAAAAGTATTGGAGTACGTAACCTACCTCGCTTCAAGGAGGTGCTCCCGCTCGACGGAGGTGAGGAAGTCGGCAATGTAGATGACGAGCGGTTCGCGAGAGAAGAGATGGATGGTATAGGGCGGATGAGTGCAATCTGGAGTGAGGTGTGCCTGGCTGTCCAATGCGGCAACAAGGGCGGAGCTTGACACCAGGCCAGCGATAAGATAACAACCTGCAAATATCTTCATCTTGAAAGCCAACGTCGGCGTGAACAGTTTCCACCTCTCGCAAATAGTCAACAGAAACTCGTGAACATCGTGCACGCAGTCAGCTCTCTAAAGATGGCACAATTGCGCTCCCTGCTTCCTCGAACATTGCAACCCCTTAAAGCGTCTGCTTCCCCCGACTGTTTCACCATTGCAGCTTACAGGCTTGTCTCACCAGAGACCATGAGCCGTGGCAAAATGATCTCTCATCCCTCTTGAGTGCCTTCAGCTCCCTCCTGCCATGAAGATGCACCTCTTTGCTCGTGTCATACTTGCTGGTTTGGCTGCTGCAGCGCACGCACAATGGCAGCATGTGTCCGACGTTGAGTTTCAGTCCCTTGTCGACTCGAACGGCCTCACGCTAACAGCGTTCGTTGCGGTATTCATTGTCCCTACGTAAAGCTTCTCGAGGCCGTTCCTGACATGCTCCCAGCCGTGGACAGCTCCCTGCCAATCGCTCGCGTCAGAGTGGGCAGCGGTGAAGTCTCAACTCACTTGTCCGGCCATTAGCATCGACTGTACCGTGAATCAGACCCTCTGCGCCGCGCATAATGTGCATTCTTATCCTGCCATACGCCTTTTCCGTGGTCCCCATGAATCAGTGCGATATAGAGGTCCGCGCAAAGCGTCCGCCATCGTACCCTTCGTCCGGCGTGTCTCCCTTCCGGCGGTCTCGGAGGTGAATTTCAAAAATATCACGAGATTAACTGGGATAGATCGAGTGACGTTTGTGGCATTTATGAAAAAGGAGGACCATTCCATGAGATCAAAATTCATAAGAACTGCACAGAAGTACCAGGACCAATTCGTCTTTGGGATCTCGGACGACAAGAGACTGGCAGAAAAGGAGAAGATCACATTCCCCTCTATCGTTTCTTACATGACGGACGTTAGCGATCGAGAGATCCTGCCGGGCACCGTGAGCCAATCTGTCATTGAAAAGTTCATTCTTGAGGCAGGAAAGCCACTCATAGATGAGCTGACTCGCCGAAACGAAATCAACTACATGAGTGTAAGCCTGACCAGCCCTGACCTGAAGCAGGTCGCGTGCTAATTCCACAGTCCCATAAACTGCTTGCCTATATATTCGTCACTGACGACAACGATCGCGCTCTCTTCCGTCGAAAGCTTCACCCCGTTGCAAAGCAGTACAAGGACTATGTCAACTTCGTCACCATTGACGGCGACGAATACGGCCACATGACCACAGGCCTTGGGCTGCACAGGGGCCACTATCCGAGTTTTACCGTGTATAGCGCTTGGAAGGATCAAGTATTTCCGTATCCAGCGGCGAAACGAATCGAGGCGGACAATATAGAAGCCTTTCTCTTGGAAATTTTGCACGGGAAAAGAGCACCCTGGAATGCTGCCGGGAGGGAACAGGGACAGCACGATGAGTTGTGAGCCTTGGATTGCCAAGTTGCCAACACCTCTAGTCATCGGAAGGTCCTTGATCCAGACTCTGAGCAATGGAGCACGTGCCTTGGCCAATACCAATGTATCTAACATAGCCCTCGGAAGCATCGTGTCATGTTTCATGCACACTTCGTATGTCTTATCAAGGAGGATCTGAAAGTGAAATTCTGTGCCTTGCGTATAATGTTACACGTACGGTATGTCCATTGCGAGATTTAGAGGGTAGGGGTACTCGTAAATGGTGCTGTCGGCAACTCCTCACGAATGGGCCTCGCTCTATTTGAGAGATAACCGGGTACAACCTCCAGTACGAAGATCTCCATTTTCCCGCTCACATGCGATGGGAAATCTTGACAAGCTGATCTTTATGGCATACTCCTCGTCTAGGCTCAAGATCCTCCTTTTCTTGGGCCAATGGCAACCGTTTGGTTCCTGAAGTCTCGCTACGAGGGTAGATTGCCTGCATGTTCTTTCAATCGTGTGTGCGCAGGAAGGCGAGTAGATCGCTCGGCACGTTTGAATACGAGGCGGCGTTCGGTCAAGGCTGACTCCGTGTGAGTACGAGAACACTCTTCGAAGAGGAGGTAGCGAGGTAGGTACGAGGTGGACTGTGGCTGCACAGCCGTCCTGCACGGCCTATGAGGCGACTCGGACAATGCCGAGCGAGCACCTCTGCAGTCCAGTGTTACGAGCCAGCCAATCAAAATGGATCAAGCAATACAGGTCCCAGTCGGCCTCTCCGCAGCTTGGACTGCGGCCAACTAAGACTCTGTCAAGTCTCCCCCTCTATTTTCTTCCTCATGCTTCTCTCTGCCTTTCCGCCTTCCCTTTCCCCACCAGAAAAAAGGTCCTTTTGTCTTTTCTCTTTCCAACCTCAACCGCGCAGGCACCACATCACACCAACTCCTGCAAAACTCATTCGCACGTACCTCCTTTGGCACCCATCTCGACCATTTTGGCCTCGGTCCATTATTCTTATTTTTATTCTTTTCTCGTTGGCCTTTGGGCCGCCCCTACACTGTGCCGCCTCCCTGGTACCTAGGGATCACCCACAGTTCGCTGACAAGTTTCGGCGACACCGCCTAATTCATTGCCCTTCCAGGCTTGTTGGGCTTGTTCGTCATTGCCTGTGCGACTGCCCATCGTGCGTCTGCTGGCTCTTATTGCGTGGATGAATTCCGGCCCCCGAGACTCTTTGCTACAGCTGAGGCCTCAAGTGCTCTGGAGCAACCTGGCACGGCTATCTCGTCGACAAAGGACCTGCAAAAGTTCGGCATAGACGTTGACGGCAATTCCAGGTCATCTTCATTGGTATATACGTACAATAATTTCCGCAAGCTTGCCTTCGTCGTAACAGTTCCTGCTCCATCATCATCATCATTCAACCCCCCTACGGTACCTGCATATCGCGCTCACTCACACGCCCCCCGAAACCACTGCAGCGCCCATCCGCTACTGTACCAATCTCGGCCGCCGCAGATCTCATTCGCGAGCTTGGACTTCTCCGCCGCTTGCTGTTGGCCACCTGACTGCAAAGTCCGCGACTGGTACCCCTCGTACTTTTGACGCAACTTTACCTTGATTGCCACCTTTATTCCAACTTCGGCCGCCCACCATGTGGCCAGAACCCCAAGCTCGCTCCTTCGCTATTCATGTCCCTTCCCACTCGCTTGTCCCACAGTATGTGCCTGTGCCTGACGCAGAGCCTGATACCGACCTAGTCCTCGCCCTCACTGGCTCCATGCCTGGCAGAGTGGGTGAACGACAGGGCTCCTCCAACGGTACCCCCTATGTCTTGGCCTCCCGAAGGAAAAGAGCTAGCAAACCAAAAGTACGAACGGGATGCAAAACATGCAAGGTGAGTTTTCCCCTACCACGGCATTGTCCCCACCCAACCCAGACCTACCCTCTCGCTACATTCCTCCCTCCACCACAAATGTACGGCTCAATGCTCGTTTGACTTCCCAGCCACATCGGTGGGTAGCTGAACGATCAGACAAGTCGTCTCGTCGACCCGTGTCTGACTAAAATCGCCTTCTTACCTCTTGCCACGCTCTCCTACTGGTCTCATCGCATGTACTTGACATGAGATCATGGGTTGACTTCATTTTAACTCATCTGATGCGAGCAGATACGGCGCATAAAGTGTGATGAGACAAAGCCCAGTTGTAAGTTTTCCCTGCTTCCGCATCTGGCCCGTGCCATATCCTCTCGCCGTGGTCCGGATTAGTGCTCACTTGACCTCACAATAGGTAAGCGATGTACCTCCACTGGTCGTAAATGCGATGGGTACGAGTTTCCCAAAGACAGCTCCAGCGGCTCAGCGTCGACCGCTTTGTCGCCACCACAGCAGAGCCCGGTGTCTTTCCAACATCTATTTCAACCCAACTCAATTTCCAAACCATTTCAAGGCAACACTCAAGAACGTCGCATCTTCCACCGCTTCCAGTACTGCACGGTGCCTGCATTCGCTGGAGGTTCCGAAACCGGGTTCTGGACAAAACTCGTACTCAAAGTGGGTCACGAGGAACCAGTGGTCCGGAACGCAATCATTGCCTTGGGGACGTTGCATGAGGATTACCAGGACCGCTGTGGCAAATACAGCCCCCAATTGATTGACGACCAGAGCTACCGACACGCCTTGAAGCTATACGGGGGTGCGTTGCGCGACCTGAACCAGAGACTCAACACCCCCTCGAGCACCAACGCCAAGCTCGCCATCATTTCAAGTATATTATTTGCCTGCTTCGAAGTTCTTCGACGCAACAATATGGCTGCTGTCATCCACTATCAGCAAGGAATGAGAGAACTGATCAGACAAATGAATCTCCCTCAGGATAATGACAACTCACTTACACCCTATTCGCCAGAGCAATCGTCCGGCTCACGGCCGACCTTTCGCGAGATTCCTCAAGATGAGTTGGACGAACTACTCCGGGTATTTGCCCGCTACGATATTCAAGCATGCACGTTTTCCAAGGAGCGAGCAGAACCTTTGTTGACCCAGATTGGCCACGTCCCTCGAATACTACCGACCAATCTCACCTTGAGTCAAGTTCGCAACCATCTCGACAACCTCCTTGTGTCGGTCTACCAACTGGTCAAATCCGATGCGCGCATGTACCGATATTGGAAGAAAGATTCTGTGCCGGTAGAGTGGCAGACTCGACGGCAAGAGGCTCTTGATATCTTTGATGCCTGGATGGCAGCTCTAGAGAACTTCTTCTCAATACAGGGTCCAAGGCTAGGCCGTGCTGACATCAAAAGCCTGTTGGGTCTCCGCCTGCAGATCAAGACTGCAGTTATGATGCTCAAGGTGTGCGTAGATTGTGGACCCGAAACCACATTTGACGCATTTATGGACGACTTCGAGGATATGGTATCCAAGGTTGAGCAGGTGACGACGGCTCTTAGTTTGGCTGAAGCAATGCCCCTGGAAGATGAGCTCACCCCGTTCACCATGGAGCTGGGCATCATACACCCTCTCTTCTTCACGGCTTGCAAGTGTCGAGACTGGGGTATCCGACGGCGAGCAGTGGCTCAACTCAAGAGAGCCGGCAAAGAGGGCGTCTGGGAAGGGCCCATCATGGCCGTCTTGGCCCGGAGAATCATCGAACTGGAGGAGGAAGGCGTGTCACCAGGAGAGCCGATACCCGAGGCAAATCGCTTCCATGAGATCAGGAAGAACGTTGATTACGACAGTCGGCAAATCCTTTTTGAGGCTACCACGGCTTTAGATGCGGCTTGGAAGAATTTTTCAGTCCACAGGGAGGCGGTTCCGTTCTGAAGCGTTCCATTTACAAACAGCAAGGCGTTTTGGAGGAGATGGTTCCAATCACCCAGGAGGTCTCTTGAGCGAGTTGCGAGACTGGAAGCATCCGGCTTGGATCACGATTTAATGACCTACGACAATGACCAGCATGGCGCGCGATTTGGCTGTGGTAAAACAAAGTAAAATCATTGAGATTGAACATATCTGGGGAAATGTGGCATGAGTGGGAAGTGAGTTTTATTTAGTCGAGGGCACACGTGCAGGACATACTAGTAAGAGTATAATCTACAGAGAAAATTCTTACTCTTCAGGGGGATCAAACGGTCGCACAGTGGTCTACTCCCTAATTAATGGTTAGTGTATCGGAGAATTTACTCGTAGTAGTGCGTCCGTCCTCGGGAGGCGTGCATCCACCCTGCGACCCTGATCCCTGACCCTTGGAGCGATTCCAGTTTTGACAGCGGACGGCGCCGTGTATTAGCGGGGACTCAGCCAATTAGGGGCTGCCAACAGAGGCAATAGAGGAACTTGGGCGGTACTAGGCGGCAGATCAAGGCCCTTTAGGCACTGAAAGCATGTCCACTAATATCCACTTCAGCGTGTCGCGTCACCGTCTCTAATGAGCACCGTTTCTCGAATCCCCGGCTGATTTCCCAATCTCGATCCTCATCATGCTCTCTAATTTTGACAACTTCCAACACCCAACTGAACTTGGTTCATTTTCACCGTCTATCGTGTTTTTCCATGGCGTTGAGCGTGTCTTCCAGTCCCTGCTCTCCCGACACTGCGCTGCTCGAGATCTTGGAACTTAGTTCCTCCTCCTTCGTCTTGCGACCACTAGCCTCAACCTCTCAAGACCTCCGTTCATGAACCTCGACGAGCTCAATCACTTCGAGAGCACCCCTTCTGCCAGTCACCGCATCGGCATCTACCCCTACCCTGACTCTCAGGTCTCGTTCCATCCACTGAAAGCACACAGTCTTTCGTCCACTCCTTCAGAAACCGATTGGATCTCTCCTTTCACCCTACCCCCATTACCGACCCTGCGCCGCGATCGTGATCCTCCAGACTATCGCCAATCCCCGGATTATCTTCGACAGCGGGACGGAAGCGGTGCCTACTACGCAGCTGCTTGGGGTTCACCGTATGCTACTCCAAGCCCTCGAAGAACCCCTCAGCCTTTCGATTCTACCGGTCAGCGCCTGAATATTGAAGCAGCAGTCCCTTTCGGAAATTCGATTGGTCGACCAGCCATCACCCCTACCCCCAGTGACGACGTTGATAGCCTCGAGTCGCGTATTCGACATCGCCTGCACAGGAGAACTCGTCGAAGTTCGAGAAAGCTGTTGCGAAATCCACGCTCCGAAAGACCCAATTGGCTGAGTGACTCTGAAGAAAGCGGATCGGAGACTGGTGTGGAAGAGGAGGAGAACACGCCAACCCGTGTAGCATATCTCGATAGCTGGGGAGCATCGCCTGCCGAGTCAGTGGGCCGCCTACCGGTACGACACAGAAGCAGCGAAAGCCTGGCTACAATTACTCCATACACCTTCCATGATTCCGGAAGGCTGTCAATAGCGCCAGAACGCCCCCGCATGCGGCTCTCGCCATCAGCACAGCACGAAATGGCTGAGCACGATTTAGAGAATACTCCAGCGGTGGAAAAGCCACTCCCAATTTTACCTCGCCAAACATCCCAGGTGGTGGCAGATGATGCGAAGCCTCCAGAGAGCCCAACTACAGCGGTTCGACCCCGTCCCCCCTCGATGCAATCATTCCAGCGCCCTAAGAAAAAAGTTATCTGGAAGGGCAAAGCTTGTATTATCGCTCTCCCACTCACAGATCGAGAAGCGGCCGGTCTGCCTCCTGTGCTTACGCCACAACAGGTCAAAGAACGGATAGATGGTTGGATCGCGGCTGGGTATTCAGTGGATGGCTTTGGGCTAACCGATCCGAGTGCCGGGGCTTCGGGGGAGAGCAGTGGCCAGAGTCGTCCGGTGTACCCTGACACGACAGACATTCACGCAGAGCGAAAACTGCGGGAATTCCAGGTGCACATACCTAATCAGGCAGAATGGGAATCGTGGGTCAACTACCTCAAGGAGGAGAAACTTCGAGCATTGGGTGTCAGTCCGAGTAACTCTGAAGCTGCTCCATCAACTCGGTCACCCTTCTCTCCTGCAATGAGTCGCATCTCTTCAGGTCATCAAGCCCTTGCGACGTCCCCTCCAATTGGTCCCTCTTCTTCATCAGCAAGCAACCCGCTTAGAGCTACAAGCAATCCCTTCTCCCCGTCGATAATGTCGTCTGCTGGGATCAGTCCTCAGCCTGGATCTGTCGGCTCTTCACAATTCAATGCATTGCCGAAAAATATGCATGGGTACAAGCCTTCGATTGCTCAGTCTAATTTCCATGGACGAATCCCATCCCCATTGGAAGCTCCTCTATCTCATGCGAATTCCTTCAGCAACGGCGCTCGACCAAACATTCAACCACTCTCCTCGCGGCAAAACAGTTTCTCCCCCAATCACCCATTGCTTCTTCCCAATATGGGAGAAGTCCTGTCCCAAAAACAGGCTATGCATATGCGCACGGCAACAGCCAGCTTTGCTGGTGAACCAGGGCGCCCGAACCCAATGCAACAAAGAGGATATTTTCCCATTCCGCAAAAGACTATTCAACATACCCCGAGTCCAACCCTGCCACAGCGGATAGAGAGTATGGTGCACACACCTCAGTACAGCGATCCCTCCCGGACTCCAATTGAAATTGCGCATCCTACTCCGAAGAGCCACCGTCATAATCTCAGCATCGCGTTGCAAAGGGAGATTGATGAAGCTGAAGCGGCTCTGCACGAGAAAGGGGAGGGAGGGCTTGAAGACGCAACCCAGGTTGACATGGCCTCGAGGAAGGACTCAGCTTTGGACGAGTCTCTGAACGAAGAGCCACCGATATTGAGACGGCCTGAGACGATAACCACAGCAGATGAGAAATCAGAAATTGAGACAAATCCAAGCATAGCTGCTACGCCCATGCTGATGGACGACAAGAATCCATTCGTGAACTGGCAAGCATTGAGTGATGCAGCGAAAGCTGAACCCAAGGTTTCTCCTGCCGCCGTTCCGACGAGTTCCAAGTTCAATGTGGAGGCCAAAGAATTCGACCCACGAGCTGGCTTCTCAAGCTCCAACTTTTCGTTTGCTGGACCCAGTTCAATACCATTTGGCCTGCCTACAGCGAAGCCAGCACCTCCTCCCGAGAGAACTGCGGCCCGAGGCAGGTTTTCCTTGTCACATCTTAATGCCGACGCCCCTGCTTTCACTCCACGCACGGCTCAAGCACCCAAAAACACTCCTTTCACATTCAGCTCTGCGACGTTTAATGTAGAGGCTCCGGTGTTCAATCCTTCTCAGTCCCCTAGTACCAACTTCCAAGATAGCGTGACTTCCGCTGGTGAAGGACCGGCGGACCACACGACCAGCATATTCGGCAACGTTGTCATAGACCCAGGCTCCAAGGCGATGAGGAGAACAAGTAAGGGCATTCCAACAGCTGGTCCAAAGTCAAAGGACGCTCAAGAGGAAGATATCAACAACTTATCGGACGATATGGGTCGGCCCCTGCCCCCTATAGATCGGCAAAAGAGAGCGCGAAGGACTGGTAGTGACGGAGATCGAAGTCCTGTCTATGCGGATTCGGCACCGTTCCATCACAGAAGGATCCTGTCAGAGATCGTAGATGATGTCGATGCGAATGGGCCCAAGCCAGAAACGCCCGAGAAACATTTCGACGGCTGGGCTTATATCCCTGCAGATGAGAAACAGCTGACCGATGCTGCGGACACGCCCAACCTTCAAGAACGGACTAGCGATGCAGGCGGGACGGACTCAACGTTTACTTTCGCGAATCAAGGCGAGGTTACTTTGTTCAGTGAAGCTCGGCCGCCTCTCGAGACTGATCAGATACTAGACTCTGAGCAGACTGCCGAAGCAGAGTCTTCGGATAACCTCAAGAAGGAAGCAGAAACTCCTGTCAAACCAACGAGTCTGCCAGTAGAGCGCACTCGAAAACAGAAGTCGTCACTTTCGGCACTAGCTACACCCTTCGAATTCAATCCGAGAGTCACAAGGTCACTGGCATCCTCCTCATTTGCGATGCCACAGAAGACTCAAGGGCTGGAAGACTCCAAATACGCAGACACATCAAGTCCACCTTCTGATCTCAAGGCTAGTCTTTCTTCGCCTCCCACAGATATGCCACACTATGTTGAGAAGGATCATGAATCAGTACACGAAGCAGAGAGCACGGTCGAAGTTTTCGAGGAGAAGAGCACTGAAGACGAAGTCGTCGAGGTCATCGAAGAGAAATCTGCTGGTGACGACTCCGAGCCTCCTCAACGGCGAAAGTACATTTTGGAACCGGCCAAGGACTTTGATACCGAGCCTGACACAGAAGCCGAACGATTTGACAGAATAGGATCCTTGTTGCGGCACGAAGACCGCGCTGAGCCATCCTTTGAAGAAATTGACGCTGTTATGAAACACCTTGAAGTTCATCCAGAACTGGGTGTAGAGCGCAATGATACACCTGTTCAGTCGACGCCGCTCGTTGACATGCGGCCGGGAAGCCACTTCCGAAGCGACGCTCCGAGCCCGAGCCCATCCAGACACCGGGAGACCAAGGCTGCTCAAAGCGACACCTCGTACCCACCATCATATGGCTTGGGCATTGGGGTACACAAGTTGAACTCGGGCAGAGATGATGTCAGTGATTGGGGTGACACGATACCTGCAGCAGAGGCGGCGAAACTACAACTTCGGTCCCAGTTCTTTGATGGCCACGTCAATGATTTGGTGGATGGGTTGCTTGAGAACCGTCTCGGTCCCCTTGAACGCACTTTGAGGACCATTCAGCATTCGCTAGCTCTGATGGCGACACAGCAGAGTCAGAAAAGTGATGACCGAGGTCTATCGGCCAGCCAAAAGGACTCGGACGCTGACGATGAGGATGAGTACGATGCCTATGAAGGTTTCGCGTCTTACAGAACTCGATCGCCGACTGCCCGAAGGGGCTCGCGCAAACAAGACCTGATCCGCGCAGCTGTCGCCGAAGCATTAGCTGCACATCAGCCTCCTGTTCTACCACAGCCTTCAATCGACTTGACAGAGATAAATGCCGTCCTGCAGGAGATGAGAGAGCTCGCTCAGCAGAATGGCTCTCAGAACACCCAGAACGAGTTAAAGACAATCATGGAAGACGTAATTTCCCATCATCCGAGACTCCGGGGCTCAAGGGTTCAGCAAGAACATGAGGCGGCCGACATCAAATACAAACCCCAGATCGACGGCCTCGAGACAATGCTGAAGATCTCTCAAGAGCATGCAGCCGAGGAATCTCGCCTCAGACGGACGGCAGAAGAGGAAATTAACGAGCTGAAACTACGACTACGCATTGCCGAAGAGGAAGCTGCACAATATCGAGAATCCTCTGAAGAGGCTCAACGCACTCTGGAGGCTTTCGTCGAGGAAAAGGACTCGTATAGAAACCTTGAGCGCGAACTTGAAGGACTGACTCTCAAAAACACCGCCCTCGAACATACACTAGAGGAATACCGTGTCTCGAGTGATCAGTGGCGAGAAGACATCCGTACGGAACGTGCATCTAACAAAGAGCTCAAGCGCACCTTGCAAGAACTTAATCATCAATTGGCAGATCAGACACAGTCTCGACAAAATCTTCGAACCAAAGTTGAGCGACTGCAATCCCAGATCGCACAAGTTGTGCAAGACCTGCACGCTGAACAACATGATTGGCGGAACAAGGAACACGGTCTGCAGAGCAAACTTGCCCTCCTTCAAGACGCACTTGAGCAAGAGCGACGGCACCGGGAGAAGGCTGAACTTGAATTGGATACCCTGGACAAAGAACACAAGCAAAACATGCACATGAAGACGATTCTAGACCAGGCTCAGCTGAATATTTCGCGGCTTGACGAATTGGTGGCCTCGCTTCGGGAAGAGAACAGGGCTCTGGATACCAAAGCTTTCAACCTAGATCGCGAGTTGGAGCATGTTAAGAAGAGCAAGGATGCAGAGCTGGCTACCGCCACAGCCAAACTGAAGGCTGAATTGGAAAGTGCCTTGACTAAACTTGAGAGCATCCAGGCCGACTCCAACGCGCAGATTACGCGATTACAAGGTCGTCTGGATCATGCCGAGTTGGATCTCGAAGAACAAAAGGCCAAACATGACGCACTCCTCTCCGAGACCATTGAGGGGCACAAGGAGGCTCTTCGAGAAGCTAATGACAAGAAAGAAACTGCTCTGGAGGACCAACACCAAGTTCACGAGAAGAAACTCAACGAACTGCGCGACCGTCACACAAGAGAGCTGCATAATTCGTTTGATACTCGAACGAGGTTGGAACACCAGTTCAAGGAGCGGCTCGGGCTGAGCGAGGACAAGGTGAAGCACCTCGAGAGTAAGGTCACGGATTTGGAGGAGAGACTGGAAATAACGAAGTCCGCCGCAAGAGCTGCTGTAGAAGCTGCGACCGCCAAAGGAGTCAATCTGCCTACGCCCGCTTCATCCGTCGTCGCATCGCCACCACAACGTGCGGCAACCGCCTCAATGTCGTTTGCGAAGGGGTCGGATGTACCTGACAGAATCTCGCCGCAAGCCCTTCGGGAGTCGATCATGGTGTTACAAGATCAGTTGCAGAATCGCGAACAAAAGATAGAGCAGCTGGAGACTGAGCTTGCCGCTGTGGACAAGGACGCTCCCAACAAGGTCAAGGAGCGCGACACCGAAATCAGCTGGCTTCGTGAACTTTTGAGCGTGAGGATCGACGACCTTGAGGATATTATCAACACTGTCTCCAAAGCCGACTTCGATCGAGAGGCAGTCAGAGATGCTGCGATTAGGCTCAAGGCGAATCTGCAGATGGAACAGCAACTGAAAGAGCGTGCTGGGGCAGGCGGGTTGACCAGTTCCTTCCCGTCAATCTCAAGCTTGTCAAGCTATGCTCAGTCGCCCCGTGCACTTCCCTTGGCGGCGGCAGCGGCATGGGGCAACTGGCGAAGAGCTCGTGAGACCTCAATCGGCGCCATATCTGAACTAGCCACCAACCTAGGGAGTCAGACACCCTCAAAATCTGCCGTCGGTAGCCCTGCAAGTTTCTTGTCGGGGATTATCACACCACCAGGTACATCTCAGAAGACACCAAACCAGACACCGATATTGCTTCCACCGAGCATGAGAAGCCCGGCTGCTGGCCCAGTGCAAACTCGCAAAGGAAGTGGACCTGAAGCACGCCCACTGCGGGCCTACGGTTCGCAACCCCGAGCACTTTCGAGCAAGCAGGCAGACAAGCGACCTGAGAGTCTACAATTACAGTCCGACTCTTCGCCACCCTCACAGCTAAAGATTGACGTGCCGCGGACTCCGGTTCAGACCAAGCATGAGGCAAACCTGGATCTCACAGAAGATGTGGATGACGATGCTTCGCCGTTGGAGGGGAAGAATACCCAGCATCTTGGAGAGGATGAGCTGCTCACTGAATGAAACACCTCGCACCCAGGTTTTGGGTAATGGGAGGACTATGTGCCCGTTGGTCATGCCACACGGACGATTCCCCTTCTGTCGATCATTTGGTTTCTCTGTCATTTATTGATCCTATGCATCTTGCATAGACATATGAGTGCGCATAGCTTTGATGTGTTGTGCCGATATGTGGAGGAGGTACAGGTTGAAGAATACAGAATGTTTTGAAACGAGAACGAAAAGCTGAGGGCTGGGACGAGACATGGCGATTTCTCCTACACGATCATCCTGGTCACTAATATTTTCTCCCGCTCGCTGGGGTGCTCGGAGTTTGTACAGAAGGAAGAACAATATACCCCGTGCTCTATTTAGCGTCAAGTTGCTATGATACCTTTCTTTTGTTTATCCCTGTGGAGGATTGTTTGTGGATAGAATGTTGTTGGTATATATAGCATAGCGCTGAGGTTATTTCCGTATATAATTGGTGAATATTGAGATGTGGCTGAGAGCCATCACTTGACACATAGGATGAATTTCTTTGTCAGTCGGTGCTGGTTCTATTGGCAGAAGGGACCATAGGTTGAGGCGGATTTATACCGCTCAGCCTTGTGGGCTCGGCCTCGTATCATCAGCCTTGTGGATTCAGCCTTGTGTGGGGGAAAGGGACCTTGGTATTTGAGCCTTGTTTCGCCATTGAGAATCTACCCAACTGACCTTGAATTTCTCCCTACACTGTCTATAACACGAAACCTACAGACAGATACTATACAAAGCACGGACTTCCATCCTCAATAGGCTCCCACCTTAATCCCAGTCACCGCCATTCTCGAAGCTCTCTCTCATAGCCACTCGCTGCGAACTGAGAAGCCCCTCTTTTTGTTAGATTTCCCCAATTGTCATTCATGGTGGTTTCTCTTCCCGTGAAAAGCTGCTGCCTGAATCCGACCACAGATTATATATCGTACATGGCCAAGGACCTTTGTGGGGTTTCTCTCCTGAATGCGACAGTCTTCTGGGCCAGCGGCAGACTCGCTCACTGCGCAGTATAGCTCCTATTCCTGAAGCAACACCATATAATCTCTTGCGAGACCCAAGCGCCATTTCAAAGGTCAACATGGCTCCTCGTTCCAGGACGGCCATTCTCCTGACGACATTCAGCTTCATCTCCCTCATTGCCGCAGCGTGCTTTTCACAGACCCCCGTGTTCCCGCCGCCGACATACTCTAACCCACAACCCGAGCTCCTCGAAGCATTTCAGCACATCGAAGCGTCTCTGTCGTCGCTTTTCGCCACCCGCCCAGACCTCAACACATCGTCTTACTCTATAGAGGTCACTTCCCCCCACTCGACGCTGTGGTCCACGTTCCACACCGCCGCCGACAAAGACCCGGAGAGGCCGGGAGCCGAGCACGTCGACGGACGTAGTTCCTACCGCATTGCCAGCATCACCAAGGTCTTCACGGTGTTGGGGATCCTGCAACAACATGCTGCTGGCAACCTGAGTCTCGACGACGCCGTGGACAAGTACATCCCAGCTCTCAAGCACCGAAGCGGCGGGACGATCCCCTGGGAGGACATCACCCTGAGGTCGCTCGCGAGCCAGTTCTCGGGTATCCCGCGCGACTGGGCGCAGAGCGACTTGATAAAGGCCCTTCCCGACCCCACCGTGCTCGGACTGCCTCCACTACCTCCGTCCGCGCCAGAATGGTCACGCCTCCCAAAGTGTGACGAGTACAACGAGTACAAGCCGTGCACGCCGGCGGACCTTTTGGACTACATGTCGGACAAGCCGCCCCTGTTCGCGCCGAACCAGAAATCGACGTACTCGAACATCGCGTTTGAGCTGCTGGGCCTGGTCCTCGCCAACGTCACGGGGACCAGCTACGAAGAGTACATCGAGTCGGCGATCCTGCGCCCGTTGGAAATGACGTCGACGTCGTTTCGAAAACCGCCAGATTCCGTCGCCATCCTCCCCAAGGGCAACGCGTGGTACTGGGACGTCGACGAGGGGGTCCAGAACCCGACCGGCGGGCTGTATTGCCCCTCGAGCGACATGTCGGTTTTCCTGCGCCACGTTTTGAAAGAATACGGCAACGTGGCCGACGCCAAGGTCAATTGGCTGGTGCCCGCGTCGTTCGCGCCCGGGTTGAAGTCGTTCTACGGCATGCCGTGGGAGATCCTGCGCCCGGACCACGTCATCCCGGGCAGCCCGGCCAGGACGGTCAGTTTCTTCACCAAGGGCGGCGGCCTGCCGGGGTACCGCACGCTGATCGTGCTCGTGCCCGAGTACGAGCTGGGCATCACCATCTTCACGGGCGGCGACGAGAGCTTTCTCGACCAGGTCGTCGAGCTGGTCACGGTGCCCTTGGTCCGCGCCGCGGACCGCCTCGCCGGACGCCAGGCCCAGCACCGGTACACGGGGACTTTTACCGCCGCCGGCCCCGAGAACGCCATCAATTCCTCGCTGCGCCTGTCCTACTCGGACGCCCACGGCCTGGAGATCACCCAGTGGGTGTCCAACGGCACGGACGTGCTCGCGATCCTCCCCGCCCAGTTTCACATTCCGGACAAATATGACATCCGTCTCCAAGTGATCCCCACGTCGCTCTGTCGGGATCAAGCGGCCAAGAAGGGCGAACTGTGGCGCATCGCGTTTACTCTGGATCGTTCTGGACATTCACCGGCATCCTCATCCAGCTCGAGCTCCAGCAACACCAACGTATGGGAAGATTTCTGCACCAGCGACGTCGACACGCACATGTATGCAGGCAAACCGCTGAATGAGATTGTGTTCTGGGGCCGAGACGCGGTAGATGGGGTCGAAGGGGAGCAGCAGCAGCAGGAGGAGGATGATGGATGGACGAGGTATGACGCGGTAGAGCTGACTGCTTTTCGAATCAACTTGACTCGTCTTCACGGCGATGATCAGCAGAGCGGTGGCAGTAATGGCAGTGGCAGCGATGGTAGTGACAGTGGTGGTGGTGGTGGTGGTGGTGGTGGTGAAAAGAACATGTTTCATCACACTCACAACCACGACCACGACTATGACCACGACGACCAGGACCAGGATGACAAGCTCGTTCTTCAAGATGCATGGATATAAAAGCCATCGGCCGCGAGGAAGAGCTAGATCATCTGAACCCGTCGCACTATACAACACTGTACTACACTACACTGCACTGCACTAAACTACGCTACAGTGCACCAAGTAGTGAGGATGATGCACCGACAATGAGGAGGATTCACGACATGGCATAGCGTGGCAAAGCATAGCATGGTATGGCCTGAAATGACAAGACATGATCTGACATGATCCAGGCAGTGTGCGTGGCATGGCATGAGGTCAAGGATGGACAGACATGGGTGCAAAAATACAGAAAAAAGAAAGGAAGGAAAAGGGGAAGAAGGGAGGCCTGTCGTCAGAGAGACAGACGAGACACAGACACAGACACATGTGTACAGACTTGTCTACAAGGAACAAAAAGCAGTCTATGCGACTGACTGACTGACTGACGCAGTGCCGACTGAGTCAGGTTCTTGTTCCTGGATCGTGATTGAACATGCCATGTATTTAATAGCAGTATGACCTCAATATACGGCACATAACACGGTCTCTGTACTCTGTCTTGACATACACATTTTTATCTGGCCTGGCTGGCGCGGCCGCGCCCCTCGGATGGCTGGTGTTGAAACAGCGACCATAAACACCCACATTTGTTTCTCTTCTGACAATGGACAATGCCACACATACTCCCTCTTCCTATCCGCCACAGCAGCTCCATACGCTCACATCCTCGCAACAAGAGGTTTTTACTCTCTCTCTCTCAGGGTAGCAATCGACCGCTTACCTTCCTGATGACAAGTCCATCCTCGGTCCATCCGCCGTGGCAATTGTGGCGGAGGTCCCCTTCTGCGTTGCCTTCATCACCACATCGTACAGCCTTCCATCCCTCAGCGCCTCGTAAATGACAGAGATCCACGACCCGATCGTCTTGACAGGACGTCCGTCCAGACTATCCCTTATTACAGGATCCTCGATGTGGCCGCGGTGGAACGGCACGCCCAACTCCTCCCGCACGAAGCGGTACAGTATCTTCGTGCCTTTGCCTAGATACTCGGGTGTCGTGGGACGGTCGAAGAAGCTGGCCCGGTGGAGCAGGAACGCGTCGTACATGACCTTCTGCAGCGCCTCCAGCCAGGCATTGTGCTCGCGCGCAAATCGCTCCTGGCAAGATCCCTGGTCGCGGTACTTCTGGTCGAATTGGTGCAGACAGCTCAAGATCGGCTCCACGGTGGCCTTTGCGACCTTCTCACATCGATCTGCGGCGTCACTACTGGCGGTGGCATACCATGTCTTACGGATAGACGCCCATATATCGCTTGCGAGTAGCTTCATCTCATTGTCCGCCATCCAGCATCTAAAGGTCTTGCGGACGGTAGCCTCGGCAACGTCCTTGAACTGCGCTAGGAAGGTCGTGTGCATGGTTCGGAGATCGACGCCCTGAAGTCCAACATAGATGGCCGACGCTGACATCAGGTGGACAATCTCAACACTCTGCATTGCATAGCGGGCCGAGATCAGTGCGAGCGAGTTGATCCCCTGGTTGTGCATTTCGGCCGACTGCACGTGAGAACTGACTGGGTTGGCCAGGAAGGCCAGCTCTGATTGATATGCCGCCATATTGATGTCGACGCCTTTGGCAAAAAAGGAGAGACTGGGGTCGTCCGAGGCCAGGTTTGGTGGCAGCCCGTTGTTGTAGGCGGGATTGATCAGCTCGCTCGTCTGGGCGAAGAGCATCTTCCCGATCATTTGGAGACACAGTCTGATCTTCTCAGCAACCATCGTCACGGACGTGGCCTGGAAATTGCCGCCGCAGTGGACCTCGCGTGCTTGAAGGTCAACAATCGGGTTGTCGGTCGTCGAGTTCAGCTCGACCTTCAATTGCTCAGACGCATGAAGCAAGTCTTCCAGCAGTGGACCGATCCACTGAGAGGACGTTCTCGTGGAATACCGATCCTGC